GTTCTGATTATGCTTCCAATATGAAATAAGTCTGGGCTCATTTGCAAATAGAACTAGCTACCTGCTTTTACTCCCTAGGCAGCTAAAGCTGCTACACAGTGTTAATCATATCCCATGTGTTTCTGTTCTATTCAATTCTCAACTTGTTGATTTGATAAGGGCCACTTTCTTTCAAAGCAAAATGAATTGTGTTAGAATCTGATATTAAAGCTAACACAGAACGCTTTCCTTCCCATGCATGCCCAAAAGCTATTTCCAAAGACTCTCCAATACTCATGAGCAAATTTGAGGGTATATGGGAGGCTGCCAAGAGAGTGGAAATCGCACTAACAGTTTCTGTTCTGCTTGCAGATCCACCCATAACTAATTTTTACTTTCTAATTAAGTTTAACTTTCTAATTGTTATTAGGTTACATACCTCTTCATTGATAATTGTGGCATTGCTCAATGAGCGCAATGCTGAGGTTATTTTTCTCCCAAGATCTGCTAAAACCATTTTGTCAGTTTCAAAGACAGTTCAGATGTGATCTGTAAAAAAACATAGTAATAGGATGGATTTTTTATTTATATGAAGTTACACACTAGTGCAAACTTGTCACTATTATGCAAATAAAACTACAATATGAAGATCTTTAAAAGCTATCTTACAAAAGCACAAGGGGCTGGGAAATAAGCATGTCCTGTAACTTGTTCCAATTTATTTTTCCATTTTCCAGACTGAAAATTTAATATGCATATATATTTGAATGTAAACTATCTCAGCAATCTATTTTCCATGTAAATGATGCAATTTAATTATATAAATCTTGCTAAAAAACAATGAGGAGTTCTTAGCTTGTCTGACTCCCTGAACACTCCTATTTCCTATTTGTGGGTCCATATGAATAAATTTGCTTTTCCATTTACTCACAGGTTTTAACAGTCTGTTTAGCTGATAAAATGGGAAAGGTCAATGCTCAGATCTTTGCTCAGGCATGAAATTTGCTGAATAGCCCATTCCTATCTTTCTATTTAGTCTACCTCACAAAGTTTTTGTGGAGGTAAAGTAGAGAAGGTGATGCCATATGTCTTCCTGAGCAACTTGAAAGAAAAACAATATAAAAATACTTTTTTCTGTTGACAGTTGATTTCTGGTATTCCTTTTATTATGGAAACCCAGCATTTTCTTAACAGTTTACAGGGGGATAGCTATGCTAGTTTGTTGCAGCAAGAACTTAAAAAATCTCTATGATTAAATACAAACAAAAACAACCCAAAAGAAATTTAACTTCTAAAATGTGGTTGAAATTAACAGGTGTAAATTTAGACTGAGTAGCTGTTCAAGCATTTCAAAAGGATTCAAATGAGCAAAAGTACATTCAGAACTCGGAATGTGAACTCAGATTTACACTAATTAAATTTGATAGGTATATTTATGAAAAGAATGGCAGGAAACCCTGCTTGTTTACTACTACTAGGACTGATCTTATGCTGTCTGCACACTGGTAGGACCTACCACTAGCATAGCCAGGAGACAGTGGTAATTAAAGCAACCTAAACTGAGCAAAAATGCTTATTTCCATTTGTTTCCAGGTTTCTTTACCAACTGTTAACTCTCTATTGTGCAAGAAATAGGTCCCACTGGCACAGGGCAATCAGCAAAACTGCATACTGCCCATGGCCTCCTAACATTACTAGCATTCCTTCAATAGTTTTGAACTGCAAGTTAAAGAAGAGTCTCTCACCATCATCCATAATCAAAACTGAACCTGTGAGAGAAAAAAGCCCCCTATGTACCCTTATCTCAGGGGCAAATCATGTCAACTTGTTCAATTTATTTGAGTAAAACAACAGTTAGAAAAAGAATAGCAATAGATGTCAACTCAGAAGGAAGAAAAGTCCCTGCTTCATCTCTACTTCTGCCTCAGCACATGAGCACTGCACTTTCCACTGAAAAAAGCAAGCAACTATCTCCATGAATCACAATAATTATTTGTGACTTAAGTCCCTGCTGATTGGCAACTCTATCTGCAAAGAGAAAGGAACTAAACAAAGATGTGGTTGCTCATTCACTTAAGTTGTTTCATCAAAAAGAAAGAAAGGAGAAATTGGAACTATTTTATTTTGTTTCTTAGGCTGCAAACCTAGATATGCGTATTAGAAAGCATGTCCCATCAAACTCTGAAGGACTTACAAGTAAACATATTCTCATCTATATTAGCAGTAACTCCAGCTGTTGGAGTTTTCTGTTTTTATGTTGATTGTACACAACTTCTTTACTATTAGGGGATCTGTCAGAGGCCTACATTTGTTAGGAAATTAAGTAATATGTTAAATAATCAGACGTTGTACAAAACTTATATGAATTAACACAATTTTGACATGTAACATGAAACTCGAGATTTGACTGTACTCTCTGAGCCTGTAACAACTAACCAGACTTCTTGAATTTAGCTATCATAGCCTAACAGTTTAAAGTCAGTTCACATATGACACTTCCTAAGAGTTATCTCTGAGCAGTGAAAAAAACCAAAAACACCCCCCCACACACACGCTAGCCCTTGTGAAATGCAACCACACAAGCTGAAACAGTATTGTGTTGTAAAGCTGCTCACCACACTAAATTCCAAACTAAGTACTCCAGCAAAATAGAGAATGTGGAGGTTGCGTTTTATAAACTATTTACTTTTTGCTAGGTTTTAGAATTTGTATGCAGTTCTGAGAATTACCAAGGGCTTAATCTGAGTGAGGCCCATAACCTGCTTTCAATTCAATAATTAGCTCAGTCAGAGAATGTGATTTTAAGCATATACACTGAAGGAATTACCGGCACACCTATGGACACAAGGAGAAAGGCGTCCAAATTATTCTCAGAAACTCAAAAGACTTTAGCACTACCAGCAGCTTCACTAATTCATCTGGTGCAGTTTACAGCCTCTGCACAAAAGCTCTATCTGCACAGTTTTACCTCACCAAAGGCACTGGAGTCGTCCTGAGGGTACAGGCGGCCCTGAACTATGAAGAGACGGAAGAGGAGAGGTGGGCATCATTCGAAAGGGGTGTGAAGGATTTTAAATAAGACCTGTTACCGAACAACACGCTGCCCGTACCCTCCCCCATCACAGGACTCACCGAGAACAGAAGCTTTACGCCCCTGAAGCGGCGGCCCGGCCCGCCACGCTTTAAGAGTAGCGCAGCAGCTAGACCGGGCTATTAGGAGAGTCCCCACGAAGCTGTTATCTCCGGCCCAACACCAAAAATGCCAGCACTCCCTCCAGTCTCCCCCCGCACACAAACAACCAGGAAGAATGTCACGTCACCACTACACGGAGATTAGGAAGTTACCATTCTGCGAAAAACGGGGAGGATCCCTCACGCTTCCGCTTCCGGGTAATTCCAAGTCACCGCCCACTTCGGGCGAAGAGGGAAGGGATTTAGAGGGCTGTCAGACGTCTTTTTTCAGGTTTTTAGAGGAATGCCTCATGTGCGGAACGCGGCTGGAGCACACGTCGAGCTGGAAAGAAAACAGGCTAGAGGATCCCTGCATTAGTTGTGTTTTAGAAAACTCAAGATGGCTTAAAAAGAAACAGCAGTTTTGAGTTGCTTTCCATTTATAAAGATTTATGTCACTGTCGATTGTTGTTTCTCAGCCACCTTTAGAGTCCATGTGTTATGCCTAAGGCAGTTTACCTCACACTGACAGAGGCTGTTGTTTTAAAGTCCAATAACACACGGCTTTTCCTGTCTAAAAACTTATTAGATTGTGTCCTAATTTTGCCTTTCCCAAAGTGATGCTGCCCTTGAGATGGACTGTACTACAGCTCTCAGCACCCTCAAGCCAGCCCTACTTACCTCAGTAGTCCTGTTTGGCTGTATTTAAAACAACATTTCACCAATTTGGGTCTGGTGATTTGTCAGAAACAAACGGAGGAGAGTCCATCTAGTTCCTGGAGACATCCCAGTGGAAACAGAATGCTGGACTTGGTCTATTACACATCAGGGGTTTTGTGGGGGCGGGGGGAGGGGGGTCTGCTTATCCTATGCTTGCTTATAAGTGAGCAAGCTCCACTGAACTCTACTAGGCTTAATTTTAAGTAGACATATGGAATTGTAAAGTGCATGCTTGATAGTTGCAATGTATCTATCAGAACAGAGGCAAGTAGCTTGAAACGGAAGTACGGCTTCACTGAGAACTTATTATTGGAATATACCTGAACACTCTCTACTGGATTTCAGCTGGGCCACCTTCTTGAACTTTAAGAATAAAACTAAATTTCTGTATGCCATGGTGAGAAGCGAGTGGAAAGAGAACGAAGAACCACACCTGTTGAAGTGCTACTTATCACACAGCCATTATACGGGAGCCCTGCTATCTCATCAGTTTTTGACTTTGGGTGGCTTGTTTACGACTTTTCTGGGAAAAGATATGATGCACTCAGAGCGCTGAACAAAAGTTTATAAATCAAGCAAGGCTGCCTGCTGGGGAGAAGTATGAATCTCATTTGAAAGGACAAAAACCTACATTCTTTTTATCTTGCTTGATACAGGCAGAATACTTGAGTGAAAGGGAACATCTAATTCACCGTCTTTATTTTATATGGTATTGATGTATACTTTTTCAACCGCTTCTTACATAATTTACATACTTTTGCCCGCCCGCTCCCATCAGAAGCTCTATTTGTGGCATGTCGGATCCAGATGTCTTCCTAGAAAAAACTCACTTGGGTAGCACAGAAATCCTTAGAAGTGAGCGCTATTACGAAGGAGCGTATGTACCTACACGCAACGTATACGATTGGTCTCTTTTCCTTATGCTTTATCTGACGTTGAAGCTGCAGAACCATTTCAGCGTCATAAATGATTTGTCCTACTCGTTACTTCTCGAGGGCAGGATTAGGGCAATTTTGTGCACGCGTCAAAAGACGGAGTATAATTGGGGACTGCTAGCGAATGAAAAGGCGACGTTGTGGTGACGTTGCTGGATTGCATTAGACGAATCGTGGAGGACTACCAGAGGCGCATGCGCAGTGCTTTCAAGCCGCTCAAGATGGATTTTCACTCAGCTCGCAAGGCTATTTTGGACATATTGCAGGGTGTACGAGCGAGGGATCTGCCCCGCCTACTTCACTGGGTGAAAAAGACTAGTAAGCGGAGTTTCTTTTCGGATTTTGCCAGGCTTTTAAGTGCTTGCTCGTTCATTCATATGCGTGTCTGTTTTAAGCTTCTCGTGTGCCACGTGCAAGCGGAGCCGGCGACAAACTGTTCCAGCGTTCAGAATGCCCCCCAGCCATGCCTTTTCTACGATACGCTATTATATTCTCTCCCAACACCCTGCCTGCTTACCGGGTTCAAATCCTCACTGAGCTGTATTTAGGGCTTTCGTTCTCACAGGGCTTCTTAAAACTCGTGTACTTCTGCAAATCTCGGGCTCTATTGAGCCTGCTGCTCATCACTGCATGTGCGTAGACGGTGCTCTTTTCGGCTACGTACAGATCAACACACGGAAAAGGAGTTCAGAGTTAACACGCTGGCTTCAGCGTGATTTAGGAGACTTGGTTTTGGAAGAATACATGAGAGAAATGAGTCCAGGCATCATAGTGGCTAAGCTACCCCTTATTTCCTATCATTGATAAAAGATTACAGATAAGTTTTCGCGGAGACTAAGACAAGGAGGATGTTATAGTTTTTTCTATTTTCAATCACCCTTGAGCCAGCCTGGATTGCTACTATTATAAATGCTATAGGAACATAGGAAGCAGCCTTATAGGGAATAAATTGATTGATCCATCTGACTCACTTTCACTGGCACAGACTGACAGTGGCTCTCCCGGAGTCTAAGGCAGGATTCTTACCAACCCTACGGGCAGATCAGATAGGACCTTCCATTCAAGCATGCCCTCTATGCATTGGGCTACAGCTCCCCTCTTAATTTATCATTGACTAATGACTAATGCCTAGCTTCCTATTCAAAGCCAAATGTTGATGGAAAGACCCGGAGAGAATTACTTTCATGTCCTGACTGTGAGGGTTCTTTGGGAATCTAGTTTGCAACTGCAGGAAACAGGTTGCAGGACTAGCTGTTTCCTTGGTCTAATTCAGTAGGAATTTCCTCTCATGGGCAGCCTCCCCCAATCTGGTGTCCTTCAAGATGTGATGGATTACAGTTCCCATTATCCCTAGCCTTCAAGTTAGTGAAGCATGTTGGCAGTTATAGTCTAACCATCTGCAAGGAACCATGTCCTATACTTAACATTTAACAGTTTCTTTCTCCTCAGTAGCAGGGTGGGGTAGGGACAGCTAAGAATCTCATTGTGGAATCCTCAGCACTTTTAGTAGACTACTATCTCCAGCATTCTCAAGTAATGATAACTAAATTGGTATTAAGGTGATACATATTTTTAAGTCAGGTATGCCCTCTAGTTGCACTAACCTGTTGTCAAAACCCAGGAATGGAAGACTCAACAATCTGAAGTATCCAGGTATAGGCATCATACTAACCTATGGATGGGATGAGTATAGATCAGTTGAAAGGAGGAATGATGAACATTCCAGAAGCAGCACACTGTCTTGCTCCCACTAGGCCTCAGCATAATCAGCCCAAAATTACTGTTATGTGCAAACTTTGTAATGCAATAAAAATTTTGCCTTAATAAAAAAATAGAGATGACTCTCTTAATGAATTGTAGTTCAGCAATTACACATTGAAATCTGTTTCTGAAATATCTTTAAGAATGCAGGATGCTGAGGTGTCTCTTTATCAAGCTGTGGTTCATGCATCAGCTGAAGTAGGCAGTGTCCCCAAAAGCTTATAGAGAAATAGCTTTATTGATGTTATAGATGCCACAAGTCACCATTGTCATTTGTGCAGTGCGGTCAGCAACTTAGAAGGCCTGGCTGAGTAAAAATACCTTCATTTGTCGGTGAAAAGACCTCTGCATTAGTGTGAGGCCAGGATTCCTGGGGAAGAAGATCCAGAATTTGATGTTTACCTGAATAATCTTTCTTGCTTTGAAGAAGGGCTCCTGACAGATTTTAATAGCTGGGTCACTAATAGGAGTAATTGTATGTTTCTTGTCATCAGTATCTATGTATGCATCTTTGAAAGGGGAACTTTCATCTTGAGTCACAAATCTGTCCTTCCTGAATTATTATTAACCCTGATTTTTTAAAATAAGTTACTTAAGTTAATAGCCAGGATTCCCCACCTCTGACATGCTTTCAGTGGAACGGCAGGTTGGCACAAGGATAAGTAAATTGCTGCCCAAATTCAAACATCTGTCCCGAAGTCTATCTGGTTCTGCTCTAGAACTTTAGATTGAATTGCCAAAGAGGAGGGAACCTTCTGGAGTGAACACAAAATAGTACAAAATAGAGCTGCCAGGTTGCTGATGGGGACGGGGCGTTGTGCTCACATGACTCCAGTCCTCTGTCAGCTTCACTGGCTCCCCATTGAAATCTGGACCCAATTCAAAGTGTTGGTTATCACCTATAAAGCCCTTAATCATTAGGGCTTGGGACCTGGTTACCTAAAGGAGCGCTTACGTCCATATGTGCCCTCCCGCCCCTTGAGATTGGCGGCAGAGGCCCTTCTCCGGGAGCCCTCCATGAAGGACATTAGGTGGGTGAGTACCCAGAGGAGGTCTTTCTCTGCGGTGGCACCCAACCTATGGAATACGCTCCCCAGAGAGCTCCGCCTGGCTCTGTCGTTATTTGCTTTTTGGCACCAGGCCAAGACCTTTTTATTTAAACATCATTTTAATTGTTGATTTTATTGATTTTTAACAATTTTGGCCAGGATGTCTCCGACTTTACATAATTGTATTAATGATATTTATTTATTTATTTATATTTGTAAGCCGCCCCGAGGCTTCGGCAAATGGGGCGGCATGTAAGTCTGCTAAATAAATAATTAAGTATAGTATTTTAGGTAGCCACACTTCTAACATCAACAAACTTAGAGTTGTCAGAGGAGGACATAGTTTTAGCACATTCAAGATGCCTAATGATTATTGCTATGTTCTGTCTGTTGCTTTAATTTTGGGTAGCCACAAGGTTTTATATACCTCCTGCCATGGTGAACCAAATGACCCTGTAGGACCAGTTTTGCAATGGAATACTGCTCCTGTCTTCCTTTTCTTAAATAGTACAACCCCAGAAATAATGCTTGGAGCTTTAGTGGATGCATAGTAAGCTAACATAAATTGATTTAAAGTAGATAGGCCACTCTTAGATTGTGCCATGCCAGCATGTCATGTGTACAAGCATTCTGTAACTAGGAGAGAAGAAAATCATCATTCTAAAGGACAAGCAAGACTTGCAGTACAATGTTTGCAACATGTTGTTATTCATCAGAGGATTGCCCTGTTCAGAGGTCCAACCAACCTGTCAACTATGTCTTGCTTCCAGATACTATAGGCTATGAGGGTCTGAAGGTAGGCATTACTCTCCTGCACAGTTTTGTTTCCAACTGATACTCAGGATTCCATTGCCACTAAGCTATTTTTGTATGTCTGATAACCTTGGGGTTTTACAATGCATGATCATGTTTTCTTATTTCTTAGCAGCCCCATTCTGGCTCCAGTCCTGGCACTTACCCTGTGAACTCACTATTAGAAGGAGTGTTTTAAATGACTAGAAATGACAAGGAATGCAGTCTGGATTGAAGAGGCCCTGAGGAGAAAATAGATTATTATGGGATAAAATGAATAATAATAGCCTACAGGTTAAATTTGCATGTCAGTCACATTGATATTTATTTGGTACAACTGAAGATACCTTCTTGATGTTTCTGTTGTTCTGTGTTTTCCCTCTGTTCTTCCATGGTTTTCTCAAATAGTGCTCCAACTAAGTTTTATTATCTTCTTTCAAACAAGGTATATGTCAAAAGCAGGCAATTGCATATTTTTATAATTCTTCCAGCACTTCAAAAGCATCTTGGATGTATCTATATATCATAGACTGAAATAATAGAACTTTGGTAGAGGCGCATATTGCTGTGTTGGTAGATTTATATATGTCTAAGATGTACTGAGATTGGGTTTTTCAGAAAATCTCTTGAAGCCTTTTGAATGGTAAAACATCAACACAAATATCTGCAACAGGAGCAACAGAAGTTCAAATATGGTTCTTCAAAGAAAAATCCTGCACATCTGGAATTCTGTCCAAATCACTTCTGAATCAAGTGTGGTTATTGCCCAATAATATGACACAATGGGGATTTAAAATGTATTATTATTATTTTGTAGATGATTTTGATGAATTCACATCCAGTAATGCTGATGCTGTTCTCAGAAGTATTGCTGAAGATCTGCGACATTCATTGCCCCCTGATGCAATGCTTAACTCAGAGCACCTTGCTCATCAAAAAGTAGGTTTAGTTGTTCAGACTTTCCTGTACATTTGTAACAGGTGGTTTTGTGATTTGGATCACCCAAGGCTTTATTTTGACGCTAGCTTTCTGAATGACCTAAGTGATTCACCATCAAGACTTGAATCCAGTTCAGCTTTTGTATCCCACTGGCTGGTAAAATATCAGACAGAAACATAATGCAGCTACTCATGACATGACAGCCCATTGTGGGTTAAATAATTACAATGCATGCGGGCACACGGAGCTGCCATTTTAAATATACAAACCCTGTTCTGAGCTTGTCATGTTGTGTTATGCTCATTGGATTATCCTAACATCTTGCTATTCAAGTTGCCGTCATGTGGTACTGCAGCCTGAACAATTTATGAATTGCTACCCAACTATGGCCAAAGAAGAGAAATACAGGGAAGAACACCAGCCAAGGAAGTGTCCTTGTGCTCATGGGCTGCTGCAAGTCAAATGATGTTCCCTGCCCTTTTAAGGGCTTCCAACTCATGCCTAATTATCAGTCTTTTGAACAACCAAATGACCTGCTCTTGGTATCTTCCCATTCACCTTCCTTAGCTGTTGGCTGCACAGAAGCTACGTCTAATAGTCACTTTGTTTTGCGTGGTCTAATACTTGGGCTCTGCCAACAGACGTCGTGTGTGTCCTAAAGTGGAGTGGTAGCAAATCACATCTCAGGATATCATATTTGAGGCTCTCATGATCTAGATTTGTTGTGTGCAGGTGCACTAAAGATAAGGGGAATAAGTTATCATTAACAGTTAGGTGCATGCTGGTCATTCAAAAGGGCAAATGCTAAACCCTCTGAGACTGGTTGTGAAAGTGGCATATCATTCATATTATACAGCATTGATTGAAAAGCACAGAAACTCTCTGGGTAATTAAAATTACTTTCACAAGGCTGCTCTAAGGTTTGTGGGTGGTTCCTTTCTTTTTTTTAATTTATTTTATTTCTATAGATGGAAGAAAAAAATGAAAACAGAAAGGGAAAGAAAAAGATACCAAGGGTGGTGCCTTTCTTTGACTCTTAGCCGACACGATATTCCGCAATAACCAGGAGTGCAGCATGGATAGACATTCTAGAGTAGTTTACTTTGAGATAGGAATGCATATCTGGGTTTGATTTGTGCTGGTATTATATTGTTCTGGCAGACCTTTGCAAAGTATGTGGTTAATAGTGTGCTGGTCCTTTCCTTTTTCTTTTCTCCAGTGGACTTCCATCCCTCATTGATGTTTGCTGTTGCTACTGCTGCATTTTTTGCTTGTGTGAAAACACAGAGCACGGATTACTGATTATTCATGCCATTTGATGTTGCCATAAGGCAACAGCTTTATGCAATTCATAAGACTCTCAGGAGCTGTTGGGGCTGGAAACAGACTTTCAGGATTCAGGAAGTTGCCTTCTGCTGGGTATGACATTTGGTCTATATAGCCCAGTATAACTCTCCAAGGTGTCAGGCAGTAGCCTTGCCATGCCATGGCAGAGATTGAACCTGAGACCTTCTGCATGCACGGCACATGCTCTATCATTGAGCTTGCAGAAATCATCCAACTGTTTAATACTAACAGGATGGATAAGCATTCCACTCCCTGAAAAAAGAAACCATGCCAGCATATACTATTGGCATTGCAGTAGTGGTTAAAATAATAAGAAAAGCCATGCTGGATCAGACCAGAGGCCAGTCTAGTCTAGCACTTCATACACCAATGGCAAATCAGCTGCCCACAGGATTCTCCAAGCAGGATGGGTACAAGACTTCCTCCTGCCCACGTTCCTCAGCAGTTGGTGTTCCTTGCATCAGAGCAGCAGCACTGGGTACTGCCTGCAATAAGCACTAACATGCAGGTTATTTGAAGAAATAGCAGAAAAGTAGCTTTTAGTTACAAGAGGTTGATGATCTGGAGTTGTTTTGCAACTGTTTACAGCTACTTGGAAGTCAAAATAACATGAAGAGGGACTGCAGAAAATTTGGCAACACCTCTTGCTTAAGCAGTGGAGAGGGCCAAAGAAGCCAATACAGAAGTGCTGGAGAGTTGAGCCCGAGGGCTTATGCTTCAGAAAGGCAAAATGCTTGCTTTTTCTAATGTAATACCTCTTCCAATTGACTCCCAACAAATCTTAACAATACTTCATATAAAAAGTTTGCAATAAAGGTGCTCAAGTATGATCTACAATTTAGTCTTTATTCCCCCCTCCCCCCATTGTGGCATTATACCTGCAGCTCACATTAGGCCTCTGTAAACTATGCGCCCCCCCCCCACCAATCATGTTCGGACTTTGTATTTCATACTTCCTTTATGGATACCAATTTCCCTTAGCATGCTGTTGGTCCTTGTATTTTTGCGGGTCCCTCATGCTTCTGGCATTGTTAACCTACTGTTGTCCTTACCTTTCCTCTGTGTTGCTTTAACCTTATATGCAGCCTTGGTGTTACCAAACAAGAGAAATGCTGAGGAGGAAGAGTTCATTTCAGTTTTGGCTGCAAAAACTTTGCCACCTTGGAAGTGCATCCCTAGGCAGCCGTGTATCTTGAGCTGATACAACTGGTCATGACAGGTTGCTGAAGTAACTATGTAATAACATGGCATGCACAAACAAAATAAAATGCAGAGACTTGCAGCATATGCAGGGCTCTGTTTCCATAATCGGCTCCCAGGCGTGGCTTGTTGTGTCAGCTGAACTTGGATGGGAAACAAGCCTTCTGTTACCCTGTTACAGCACACAGTTCTTAAATAAACCGGTGTGGCATATTTTGATTGTGCAGACTGAGCCACTGAATATTCTGAACCTTTTTAAAGTGAAGAAAATGTTCAAAGAGAGGGTGCAATCCAAAATAACTGTGGAAACTGATGTACACTTCAAGTACACATGGAACTCAAGACCTTCCTAGGGCTTAAATCATTCTCAGACTAGCATTGAGAAAAATATTAAAAATATTCAGTTTCATATTTTTCTTTAGCTACATGAACAAACAAAGCCCACTGTTCATATTGATGCATTCCTTTATGATGATGACTGTATTGACTTGTTGTGTGAAGAAGGGAAGATGAGCAGAAATTACTGTCTGACATGTGGCTCACATCAGACAGCACCATTAGGTAAGCATTTATGTGTGTGCCTCCAGGGCAAATTACAGTGTTGCCTTGTGTGTCTGTGTAATAGATCCAGGGTCAGATTCTCTGTCCATGTGCAACTTCTTCAGATCAGAGCTGTGCTCTCTAGAACACCTGCCAGTTACTAGATTCCCAAATATGATAGGAACAAGATAAAGTCAGCCATCCCACTGTTGGAAGAAAACAAAATTCTGGGAAATTGCTTATTGTGGGCAACATTACAGCTGACAGTCAATACTGAAGTTTCCACCTAGTGCTGCAAAGGCAGTATCCATAAAGCTGACGGATGTACATCTCCAAGTATAAAATATGGTGCAAATGTGCACATTTTAATGTGGGCTCCATTTCAGCCTTACTGAATCCTTCTTCTGATTTTGGGGCTTTAAAAAAGCTTTAAAAAGACGTGCAGTTTGAGGGATGGTTGGGGTAGGCCTTGAAAACAAATTGTTTAATTCCAGTTTCAATGGCTACAAAATTGTAGCCATTTTCTTGAATGACTATATATCAGTAACTTCTGTAAATACATGCCCTTATTTTGAAAAGGAATGACTTATTTTAAACATATGTTGGCCACATATATAATTACAGTGTTGCTTAGCGAAGGAAAAGAGAGTCATCCAGGATATATTCTCAAGCTTGGTTAACTTCCCAGTCCAGAACACAATAGTTAGAAATACATCCCATATGAGTCCATTGGGATTTATTTTTGCATACTGCCCAAATCTAGTGCTGTAGATTCACAAGTGCTTGGTGTTAGAGGAAGGAAAATATTATGTGCACATACACACAAGGATTCCTTGTTTTATATGCACTGGAGCATCAAGACTACTGTGAGACTTGCAGAGTCCGATTGCAGCAAAGTGTCATCAACTTCAAACATGTTTGAAAGTTAGCACTATTAACTCATTTTGTTCTTCAAGTTTATTGAAAGCCCTCCAACCAGAACATGCTTACATCAGCAATATAGCAATGGCTGGGTACACATGACATGTCAATCTATTGTGAGTAAATAGCCACAGCGGGTTGTGTTGTCTAAACCTAAACCACTTTCCACAAGGTGATCTGTTTTCAGGCAGCAGGCTACCCTGACAAGCTATGGATTGTTCTGGGGGTTGTTTGACCCTCAGTGGGTTGTTGTGTCATCCAAACCCAGAATCCTGATTCCGCCATGGGCTGTAGGGAGCTACTCAGCAAGAACAGTGAAAAACCCTGTCACTCTTCATGATCTTGCCCATGTTGCTGCTAATGATGTCTCCTCCACTGATGTTGAAGTACTACTTGGAGCAACCATTACTGGTTTACCACCTTTTAAAAATTATCATTTCAGTACCATAATTGTAAGCAAATGTCATCATATTTTTTTTCTTTCAGTCTTTTGGAGATGTGCAAGGGTATACTGTCAGATGTATTAATCTTTCCTAGTCAACATCCCTGTAAGTGTCAGCTGTCAAAGTAAGCAAAGTAGAGTTGCTTTCAAGAGTAGAAAATAGACTAATTTGCATGTAATTATTGAGTTGTCAACAAAAAATAAGCAGGAATGCATTGATAGGTCACTGTGAGTGTGCAAATATCCTGTCCATTTATGTTTGAGCTGTTAAATTTGTGTATATTTCTACAGGTTTGTTTGTTTGTTTAGAACTGTCATGGAACCATAGTAATTGCAGGGTTAAGTGTTCTGAAAGGGAACTGCAGAAAGGTGGGACAGGAATTAATATTGCCCCTTTCTGCAGTTGCTGGAGGCTTGGGAAAAGTTTGGAAAGTGGCAGGCTGAGAAGTGTCATTTCAGCACTTAAAATTAAGAGGATTGCATGACAGATTGGATAGCATTGCATCCTTTCTGATACTGCTTCTTCCCCACTTAGCAGGGATTTTTGATTAGCAACTTGGCAACTGGACCTTGGCAAGTGCATGCCAATTAGCTTATGCACAAGCTCACCTTGTCCATTTTTATGTATATTGGCACTTGATGATACAGATGAAACATACAAGGAAATTGACCAGGTAAAGTCATTAAAGTACAATTGTGCACTTGTGAAAAAGAATATTAGTAGTAAAATTATGAACATGATTACACAGTTTTCTGGATTCACAACTTAAGGGTTGCTCTAAAGTACCATTTGGTAATAAGTGGAACAGTGGTCACTGGTGGCCTCATAGGCAAGATCACACAGAGCAGCAGGAGGAACTGACATTGTTCTTTAGTCACTTGATGGACAATCCCCACTCCCCACAATGAAATTGCTTTCCTGGGTTCAGAGGACACCAGAACCCATCATGAGCCCTAGAGCAAGCTATGGATTGTCAGGATGGCTTGTTCCTGAAAACTAAGTGGTCTATGTTTGGATGACAAGCAGCTCATTGTAGCTAGTCAAACTAGTAAATACAATAGCTAGTAAATTCTTATGTCATGAGAACCAACTCAATATATTTAATGCTGATACCATATTTCCCTGAAAATATGGTCTTATATTAATTTTTGCTCCAAAAGATGCATTAGGGCTTATTTTCAGGTGATGACTTATTTTTTCTTACAAAAGCTGTAGGATTGTTGCCCCGAGAGTCCTCCACAGTTCCTTTCTTGTACTCTTTTGTAGCTCTTTCTTTTTGCACCCATCTTGCATTTTGCATCCATGCCTTAAGTACGTCTGTTACAACACACAACATATTGACGTTATTTGTGTATTGTGTCTGTACTCTGGTCATTCAGCAATAAGTCTCACGTTCATCTGTTTACATAGGCATGTACCTCTCATCCAAAGGCACCCACTTCGGTATTTACAAATACTTAATTATAATATATATTATAATTTATTTTAAATATTAATGTCAATAATATTTATATTTAATTGCTTATTAACATTATTATTTTATAATTCAATACATCTATCATGTATTACAACAGATGTACTACTGTGTTTCCCCATCCGTCTGGCTGACGATCTTAACTGGGGCTTATTTTTGGAGTAGGGCTTATATTACGAGCATCCTGAAAAATCATGCTAGGGCTTATTTTCCAGTTAGGTCTTATTTTCAGGGAAATGCGGTATATTTTTATTTACCTTCCATAAACATAGAATCACATTCTTTTTGACAATTTACTAGAAGTCACGGAAGATAATCAGAAAGAACTCTGCATGTGGTTGCGGAGGGTCAAGAGGAAAATGAGTATTCTCCTTGGAAAGATTTCTGGTAGTCCATGTTTTACTAAATATTTGACATTGGTTGACAACTGTTACAGACATGCTTTTATTTTCCAGAGTTTATTTCTCATTCTTTTTCCCTCACGGAACTGAAGTTTCTCTATCAACATGTTCTGCCTGACCTGACAGGAAAGGTTGTGGTTGACGTTGGTTCCAGACTTGGTGCAGTTCTGTTTGGGGTAAATTCCAATCTAGAAAATTGCTAACATTTCTATGATGCACTTCTGTGTCCTTTCCTCCTGCTTTCCTGATTATTATCATTCTCTTGCAGATGGAGTGTTTCCATTGATGTACCTTTCTCAATTTTTTCATAATGAGTCCTTATATACTTCATATTCCAAAATCCAGGGAAGAGATATGATATATACATTCTTTTTGCTAAACCTGAGGACTGACTCCTTGTCCTTTTCCCTTTCCCAGATTTATATCTCATGAGCCATCTTTTATTTACTTTTTGTTATTACTGCCCAGTAGCTCTTTGACTAAGTAAAGATTAAGCCTTGTGTTCTTCTGGCCATTTATTCTTTAATAATTACAATCATGTTACCTAGATGTAAACTTTTTAATAGTTAAAAGAATTGTGGTTGTTTGGTAACTGTATAGATCATACATTCATAAAATAATTAATCAGGAAACCTCTCTTTGTCAGGGCCAGAATTGCTATCATTTTGCTAAATCCAACATTCACAAGAGAAGCTCCTCTTTCTCTTCTCCCTTCTATACTGCCCCACAAAATATTTCTGCAGAAGATGTGAGGAGCATGGGGGGGGGGCAGTTGTAGGAGAAGGGAAATCCAATTTGGTGGCAAGGAGCCAGCACTGGACCTGCTTTCTGACTGTTTGACTTGCTGCTTTTATTCCTAGTTTCATTGTGTAACTTGATTGTTGACATTAACCACATTGAGCACATCTTAGGTATTCAAATTTGAAGGCAGAATTGAAATCTTTCTTGCAAGACATTTGCTTATATTTGTTTTTGTGTTCCAATTATATCCCACCTTTCCCGTAATGTGCCTAGGATGGCTTACATGACCCTCTTCTCCATTTTTCCTTCATGACATTTCTGGAAGTTAGCTTAGGCTGAGCATCTGTGACTGGCCCAGAATTGTCCAGTTAGCTTCATTGCTGAACAGGGACTAAAACATGGCCCTCCCAAGCCTCAGTTTGACACTCAAAACACTACAGAGCAAGATGACATGGGCAAGATTAAATAAGAACTGAGAAAGTAAATAGCTTGTACAAAATAAGGACTTCCCTTCTGAGCACTGGACTTGACCTGAAAGGATGCTTATACTTTTCTTCAGAAGACCTGTACAGATACACTTGTCATTGAAAACAGGTTCCACTCATTTCCTGACATCTTGACAAATTATTTTAACAAATGAAGTAGCTGCTAAGTAAATTTTTGCTCATTTATCCTAAGAGAATTTTCTTTTAACTATTAGCCATATCATGAGTAAATCTTTTTGTAATGTTTAAATGGAAGGTAGCCTCAAAGTGGAGCATTTAGATTAAAAATATTTTCTTGGCTTCCATTACAGAGGTGGCAGTGTGCCAAATCTCATCTGTAGAGACTGCTTTTCTAGCCAGAGGGTTAAATAATTTCAAAAACTGTAATACATCATGTTCTAAGGACATGGTAATAGTCTGCAAATTTTTCATACCAATTTGGACATTTAAAAAAGTTGATGGTTACCTTTTTCATCTCATACACATCTACTCAGAACAAAGTCCCATTGATTTTTAGTGAGGCTATGCTCCTTGGTAAGTGCATGTATAAGATTGTAGTCTAATAGGATCATTTAGATCCCCATTTCTGAGATCAGAAGTTCACTTCAACTTCAGAGCTGGAGATCAGCACCTGGATCCCCCCACCCACCCGCACAGTCGATATGGAGAAGACTGTGCCAGCTGCTTCTCTTGAGGTCAGAAGAGTGACCTTGGAGAAGTGGTTTGGGAGCATTATGGGAGTGGGGTCAGGAAGAGAGCAGTGTCACCAAAAAGTTAGATATTCTGACAGTGCCTTAGCCTCCATTACTCTCCCTCCGAAGTGCCATAGTTAGATATCCAAAAGTGACTGTCTAGCTATTTGTGAGGCAGGAAGAGCATCAAGGCTGCACTTCTTCCACTCTGAATAAGATGCCCACAATCCTCTGAGTTCAGAGGGTTGCAGGCATCCCCATAGGATTGCACCATAAATGCAATTTCTGCCATTTGTTGTAGTTAAACTTGGACCTGTTTTATCATGTTTTGCTATCTGACAGTCAATCTAACATTTCTTAGAAATTATTTTGTTGGATATGCCTTCTACTCTTGAATTAAGCACTGTTATGAACAGTGTTTGCTGCCTCCCCATCTGTAGCAGGGCCTGAAATGTCTTAAGATTGTTACAATCTCATCCTGTACATATTGCTTTGCAAGCAAATTACGTTGAGGAAGGAAACTTAAAATTCCATTTTAGCTCACTTAAAAAAAAACCCAACAAAATCCGAGAGCCAGTGTGGTCTAGTGGTTAAGAGTGCGGGCATGGGACTCTGGAGTTCTGGGTTTTAGTCCCCACTCAACCATGGAGCTAACTGGGTGACTTTGGGCCAGTCACAGCCTTTCAGCCAACCTACCTCAGAGGGTTGTTGTTGTTGTATTTATTTATCAAATTTGTATACCGTCCATTACTTCCATCTCTGGACAGCTTACAACATTATTTCAGAATAAAATAAGTTAACTATTCCACGCTGGCTAAACATCATATAAAATATAAATAAATCTTCTCACAGTTAAAATATATTAAAATATTGATCGAATAGAAAGGTTGTTGTTGTGAAGATAAGATTGAGAGGAGGTGGAGAATTGTGTAAGTGACCTTGAATTCCTTGAAAAAAGGCAGAATATAAATATAATATAATATATAATATAAATAGAAAAATATCAGGTGTTCTTTTTCTTTTTTAGGCCTTCTTTTATAGCTCAGCATCTCAGATCTGTGGTGTTGAAATGAATGCAGACTTTTGCCAGTTGCAGGAAGCTATCATTGCAAAATACCGACTTGATGAAAGAATAAAGGTGATAGAGCATATTTGACAGTTTTATCTGCAGAAAGATTATAGTTGAACAACTCTGTGTTTCCGCACAATGAGCATGTGAACATGAGCTGAACGGTACATGAACACTAACATAAATTATATTGCACTAGTGAAAGGACCTCACCAGCTGTGACAGGATTTCCCAGAAAAACCTGTTCTACTCGTTAATACTGTTGTGCTAGAGATGTGTTGCACTGTTGTTATTATGTTGAATTTATAGCCTGTCTTTTTTTTCTTCCTGCAAGGAACCCAACACAGCTTGCAAGGTTCCCTGCTGCATTATTATCCTCACAACAATAATCCTGTGAGGTACTTTAGTCTGAGAGTGAGTGTTTTTCCCAAAGTCACCCCATGAGCTTCATGACATCTCCCAGGTCTCCAGTCCAATACTCTAACCACCATGATACACTAGTGCATCATTATTTATGTTAGTAGGAAACAGCCTGATTTATTTTATCTGGAGGTTTAACACAATCTCAGTGGCACAGACAAGTGGTGTAATACTTCTGACAGTTTTCAGATGAATACCATAGAAAGTGTCACTGGTTCAGAACAACTGCATGCCAGTCACACTTTCGCATGTTTTGTTCACCAGGGAGGGAGATTGCAACTCAAGCTCCTGTCACAAATTGGCTTGGCGCTCCTGCACTATAAAAATAAGATTGTCAGTTGTATTATTAGAAAAAAATATTTTTAATAGACTGGTCAGAAGATGAGGGATAGACACTGAAAAAAGACTATAGAGAGGGCAAAATAAGCAACTCTTTCCTTATCTGTAGTTTTTAGGGATGGGATTATCACTGGACAATCTTTTATGTTGAAAAGCTACCCAAATTATTTCCTTCCAGGTGCTTAATGCAGACATACGTACTCAGGCTTCACTTCTTCAGAATGCAGATGTTGTTGTAATGAATAATGTCTTTGAATATTTCCTTGATGGATCAGAACAGGCCAGGTAAGCTGAATGTTCTAGACATTAGGAATACTTTTCTTTTTAAAAAATTTTATCAAACAAACAGAACAATTATAATTATAATCATAATTAAACAATACAATAACAACAGTGCTATCTCCACCAGGACCAACAGATCATACTACTTAATGTGAGATCATTTATTTATTCAGGTTGCTCCCCTCCCACTCCCCTTCTGGAACTGCATTGACTCTTGTGATGGGTTACGCCCATTTCCTTTTATTAAGATGTATTCAATAAATGCTCTCTAAATATTTTCAAAATTATTTTTACTTAATCAAGCCCTTTTTCCACTTAATATTGCAAATTAAGTTATCATTAATTGCTATATTCCAAACTTCTTTATACCAGTCATCTATTTGATAATCACCCTTTACTTTCCAGTTCCTTGCTATTATTAATCTTACTGCTGTTAATACACTTGTCATCAATTTTTTAGTATTTTCTCCCACTTGTTCTCTAAATAGTGAAAATAGTGGTAGTCCAGGGTCTACTTCAATGTTTAAATATTTTACTAATTTTTTGAAAACAATTTCTCAAAACTCATTTATATATTTGCACTCCCACCACATATGAAAATATGTACCCACTTCCTGATTGAATCTTCAACATATACTGGAATATTCATTATTCATATAATTCAATTTAACTGGAGTTAAGTACCATTTCCAAGCTAATTTATAAAAATTATCTTTAATTATTGACATAAATATTCTCTTATCCCACATATTATTCCATTCTTCAGTACTAAGATTTCTTTTTAAATCCATTTCCCAAGACTCTTTAAGAGGATCATATCAGTCTTCCCCTTCTGGTAGTATGTTGTAAATTTTATTTATCATTCCTTTCATCCACATACTATCTTCTTTTTCTTTCTGTAAAATTATATCTTCAAATTTAGTATATTCTCTACATTTACCATTTTTCTTCAACCAATCTTTAGTCCAATGATCTAATTAAAGTATATTATACCAAGTTACTTTACCCTGTCGTAGTATTGCTTGTATCATTAGTTCACTCTTCATTTTCTCTAACCAGTCTTTCAAACCAATAACATATTTACTCTTCAGTACTTCTATGAAACCACTCCTCAAATTCTCCAGGAATCTTTCTAATTCTGTAATTGGATATAATAGCAAAATTGATGGGATAAATATGTCGCTATATTAATTCCAAATTCTGACCTTATTCTTAAAAAAGGGGTTTCCTATCTTTTAAAGAATGTTTTTATTATCTTGTTGAAGAAAAATATTTAATAAGTATCCCTCGATATCTTGACATTCTAATTTACCCCATATTATCTTATACAACTGCAGTATAATATCTGGCATATGCCTCATTTGCTATATAATAAAACTTCACATTGGGAATACCTAAAAGGAATACTTTTCTGAGTATAGAAAAGATCATTTTTCATGCTTTTTAATACTAAGACCTGAAATATAAATTTTAAAAATGTAACTCACAAACATTATTAGAAATACTTTTGTTTTCCTTTCTATTAGGATGCAAATACCTTGTTGAAATTAGAGACAAAATATCAAAATTGACTTTGTTCTAGCAGCAGCTACAATCACAATATTGTCAAAATGGAACCAGGCAGTTTCCCCTGTGCTATGATTGTCACTGAAAGATCTAAGAGGTTGCTTAAGGCTTTCTTATTTACCAGTTTCAGTTCTTTGGTAAAGGAAACACTGTTTTATTGAAATCAGCTTGCTTTTTTCTTTTTAAGGAGACACTGAAATCATTTTTGCACTTGACAAGATCTCCATAATGTTGACCCAGTAATGGGGGGGAAAGAAGCCATCGTGGCAGCCACAGTGGTTCTCTTCCCCACCGCCCTGTGCCCATGCTGCAGTTTGCCTAATAATTCTCGCAGGGCGTGGCTTCCTGTATGATCCAAACCTGGGGAGGCGTGCTGCAGGGATGGCCTCAGAACCACTGCAGAGCCCCACAGCAGCCCACCGTTGGTGTCAGAGCAGTCTGCTACAGTGTACTTGCAGGCTTCAGGCAACAGAGGAAGCCATGTGCTGCAAGGGTAATTAAACAAACCACATTATATGTGCCCTGGAGCAAGGGGTGAGTGGGAGAAGAAGCCACTGTGGCTTCTTTCTCTCTGTGATCGCGCAGACTTGGTCTGTATGAAGCATTTTTTGCATGTTACAACAGATCGTAGTTTGTCTAAGATTACCTGTTTGTAAACTCTTTGTATCTTACTATTGTGATTGATGTGTTCTTTTGAAGGGGTGGGTCACTTGGAGTGCAAAGAAATAATGAAGGAATCATGTCAGGTGTTTTCAAATTGTATGGTAAATTGCTGCTATTGTAAGGAGGACTTGATCTGTTCTTGGCATTGTTTATCAATCTTCCCTCCCTTAAAAAGATGTTTACTAGGGAGCGTATTTAGAGTGGTACAGCTTATTTTGAAAGTTTAGCTATTTGATTTTTATTTAAATGATTTTTAAACAACACCCTGTGGGCAAGGATCACAGATAAAACACTAGCTGAGGGTTTAGAGAAGTCTGCTATGAAGGTTCTGCATTAAACCAGACTGCACTATGTCTACAAAACTCTACTAAAGATTACTGCAAATGTTTTGTACAATGGCTTGTTCTTCATTTCTGTCTTATTATTTCAAATATAATCAAATAATATATCGACCATACATTCATTCATTCCTTTTTAAAGTATTATCTCACAGCCATCTACAAGATAAGCATGGGACTGTGCGAAGAAACTAGATTTGTAGCAGAAGATCCAACTTAATGCCAGAATCCTCAGAAGGCTGCAGACCACGCTAGACTGCTATTATTACCCTCATAATTTTTGGGTCCTTTCACATGCAGCTAAAGCAGAAACTCACAAGACCAAGTGATAGGTGGAAACTACACTTTGTTGGAAATATGGTATAGGCAATTTGTTTGTTTATTGGATTTATAAACTGCACCCAATAGTCTCACATAGGACTCCTCTCCTATATGCAAGGAGTTTCTGAAGGTTGCTTCATAACAAGTTCTAAATACACTTTTGCTTAGGTCCTGGAAATTCATCAGCCAAAATGTAAGAAAGAAAGGATCCTTGTTAGTCACCGTCCCAAGTCTTGAGGAATCTCTTTCAGAGCTTAAGGTAAGTAGCTGTTTTTGAGACAACTTAGCTGTCAAGTTTGTTCTCTCTATAGAGAAGGCTACTTTTCAGATAAAACATGAATGGTTATAGTTGATGATCAATAATGTACTTCTATCACAGCGGAGATGTTTTGGTTTTGTTTGACCCACACCAAAAGGGAATGTATATGGGCCTGGTCACAGATTCTTCAATAAATAAAAGTCTTGTGACACCTTTTCCACTTTTCATTCTCCAGAAACCTCCCCACATGTACAGAGGCAGTAAAGTACTCAGATTCCAAGCTAGCACTCAGCCCCAAACCTTAACATTTCAGCATTTTATAACACAGCAAAAGGAACATTTCAGAAAGTGGGCTTTGTTCCTCCCCCACATGCTCCTGAAACCTCTCTCCTTCAGCCTGGAAAGTCCCAAGCTATGTTACAAAGCTGCTGTTCTAAGCTGGCCATGGATACAACTGTAGAATTTAGATGCAGTTCCCCACCATTTTTTCAGTTGCTTTTGCCCTGTTGAAGCATCATGCCTGCAACAAACTCATGCAGGTCATTTCCATGAGTGCTCAAGGAATACAGAAAATTAAACACACAAAAAATTGTAGCAGGCTCACAGCCATCTTTTCTTCTATTGAGTACACCTGAGAATGACACTGTGTCATCATGTGCTCTCAGGGGCAATGGCAGTTCCATCTCAAAGCAAGCAGCAGCTGGGCTGTTGCTAGGCATACACCTTGGCATTTGAAAAAGAAGAAAAGGGTTTATTAAAACTTGTAATAAAAATTAAAAATGAAAGCCTTTGGACCACCTAATGAATAATTAAGTATAACCCATCCAAACTATTTTTTGGTGAGGTGGGGGTATGAATGCCCCAAATCCTGCTGTCACATAATACACATGCTTCTTTTTGGAAAGAATGGTGATGGTGGGAAACTTTCACCCTGCCTCTCTTTTCCTGCTTTCTCCCTTGAGCTGGCATGTTTGTTTTTCTGCTTGTTAGTAGAAGCAGGACATGTTGCTTTTGAGAGTAACCCTAAGAGCTATCAGCTATAAATGATGACGACGACACTGGCTGAACTAGCATAGGACATTTTCTCTTCTGAAGAGTAGCATCTGGCTGGCATCAGCAAGTATGAGAGATCCATGGAATGACAGTCTAAGCAATTGCACAAGCAACACATAGCAAATATGGGGGACTTTGGCTCTGCGGCATGGCAACTTTGCCATGGAGTACCACAGGGTTCCATTTTGTCCCCCTTGCTATTTAATATCTTCATGAAACTGCTGGGAGAGGTCATCAGGAGGTTTGGGCTGCGGAGTCATCAGTATGCTGATGACACCCAGCTCTACCTCTCTTTTTCAACTAACCCAGGTGAGGCAGTGGCTGTACTGAACCGGTGCCTCGTTGAGGTAATGGGCTGGATGAGGGCCAATGAACTGATGCTCAATCCAGACAAGACAGAAGTCCTATTGGTGGGTGGATCAAGCTCCTTGGCAGGTGACTTGGGCCTTGCCCTGGATGGGGTGGCACTCCCTCTAAAGAACAGGGTCCACAGCTTGGAAGTGCTTCTCGACCCGGAGCTGTCCTTGGAAGCTCAAGTGACTGCGGTGGCAAGGAGTGCTTTCCTTCATCTTCGGCTAATCCATCAGCTGCATCTCTACCTGGACAAAGATTGCCTAGTGACAGTGACACATGCACTGGTTACTTCCCGGTTGGATTTCTACAATGCGCTCTACATGGGGCTGCCCTTGAAGACAGTCCGGATACTTCAGATGGCGCAAAACAGAGAGGCCAGGTTGCTGACAGGGACTGGGTGTTATTCTCATATAGTCTGGGCTCAATTCAAGGTGCTGTTCATTACCTATAAAGTCCTTAAAAGCTTGGGACCTGGATACCTAAAGGACCGCCTTCTTCCATATTTGCCCTCCTGCCCCTTGAGATCGGCAGCAGAGGCCCTCCTCCAGGAACCCTCCGTGAAAGATATTAGGAGGCAAAGTACCCGGAGGAGGGCTTTCTCTGCGGTGGCGCCCCGCCTATGGAATGCACTCCTCAGAGAGGTCCGCCTGGCACCGTCGTTATATGTTTTTCGGCGCCAGGTTAAGATCTTTTTATTTCAACAATATTTCAATAAGTTTTAATATCATGACCGATACGTTTTTATTGCTGCCAGTGTGGGTTGATAATTTTATTTATATTTTATTGTATTTTATCTATGTGAGCCATCCTGAGGCTTTTGCGACAGGACGGCATATAGATAGATAGATAGATAGATAGATAGATAGATAGATAGATAGATAGATAGCTGAATGCACCCATGTTCTCCAATTTGCAGCCAACTTCTGGTGTAATATATGAAATATATTTTGCTTTCCTCTTTGAAGGACACAAAGCTATTTGGTCAGGTTAGAGAAAACTGGATAAAGGGAACTTCATGCTATTCAAAAAGTAGAGAGAAGCATCCAGATAAAAGTAGGTAGCAGTGGGACCTGCAACAAAATGTTGGAGCATATCCCACAATCTTTAAGATAAGTGCTTCTTTTCATGGCTTCAGTTGGGAACAAGAGCCATGAAGTCCAGTTTAGACCTTGCTGGTAGGAGGGGGGTAATTTCAGAAGAAAGGTGATACACCCTGAAGGCTCTTCCTGCTATACCCAAAGGTAGTAACAAGAAAGACCTCCACCAGCAAACTTGGAGCAATGCAAGGTAGACAGTATTGTGTTAGATAGCCTGAGCTGGTATAAAGCAGTTTACAATTCAAGAGACTGAGGGAGGGATCTGGAGAATAAGAAAAGGTGTCCTCTTTCCTTCCTTGTAAAATATCCCTCCAGGATGCTTATTTTGCAGCATTAGGAACTTGAACAGACTAATACCTCCTTCCCTCCTTTTCAGCTAATTTTCATTCAGGTTCTCCTCCCCACCCTTTTCACAATCAATACAATCATATTCCATATATCCTGGAAGGTCATCCAACCCCTATCAGGCCATTTCCATGTATTTAGTTTTATTTTTCTTTCAAATTTACAAATCTGTAGGGGTTTTTTTTCATATTGAGAGAGTTCCTCAGACATTATTGAGTTAAATCCACTGTAATGCTAGAAGTCTGCTGGTGCAACAGTTGTTTCTGCCTCCCTCCTCCTCCTTGCAACCTCCATGCCACCTGATGGGAGTGTTTTCCAGCTTTTTGCAGCAGATTCTGATGGTGAAGCACTGTTGGGTGAGGAGGAATCACCCCTCTCCTGGTTCTATAACCTGAATGGAAGAAGTTCCATCTCTGAAATGATACCAGTGGGTTCAACCCATAGATGATTATGATTTTTAAACACCTTTTATTCAAAGATAAGTAATCACCCATGTTCACTGTCATGAAGAAATCATGATTCACAGTATCAAAACTAGCTTCATCTGTGCTGTGCAATAGTTTAATTACTAACACCTAACATTTTACCTGGAAATTAAACAGAAAAACTGCGGGTTTCCCATCTTTACAATAAATGTCTGTGCTTCTTTTGAGTTTCTGGTTTCTGACTTGACCCCTCTTAATTTTTTATTCAGGCTCTATCCATAATGTAAAACAGTTCTGTGAATAAAAGAGAAGATGCCAAGAAAAAGTATATCTCTTGGTGACAGGAGGAAAGTATTACGCTTTTGCTAGGTTCAGCACCCTTTTTACAGTTGCATATCTGACACAAGATACTAAAAGACATTTACATCTGCCTTGAAGGTGGCTGATAATGATCCAAAAGTTCAACAATATTTTATTTAGATTTTATCCATACTGTCTTTGCACTGAAAAATGCCATTCAGTGTGACTAATGCACAAAAGATGCCCTTTTGCTCCATGCTTTCGTTAGTAGTTATGGGGTTTGTATGCCCTGGAAACTGGATCAAGTGTGAAACCCCTTTTGTTTCAATTTCTTTTCAGGTGGATATTCAGTTCAACCAGTGGGTAGAAACAGTACCATTGTGCTATGATGTATTCTTGGAAGAAGATGTTGATACAAAAGCGCTTGAACAAATTTACTTATACAAGGTTCTCTAGTATAACTATGTTCTGACATTCATATGGCATCAGTTGGTGGTTCCCCAGTTCTTCAGTGACCAGAGTGTGAGAGGAGGAGCTCTGTGGGTCAGAGAAAAGAATGTGGAAAACACATTTTCTTTGCTATATAAATGAAAAGGAGTTTAAACAGAATTTGCCTGGTACATTTCTAGTGAGAATGACTAAGTATTGTTGCCTGCAGCTAAAGAATAGGAAGCGCTGCATAAACCACAATCTAAAGTATAACCCTCCCTCTTTGGACTAGAATTATTTTCACTTTTCCCTGGGGTTCAAAAATGCATTATATAGTACAGATGAGCCTTGGTTGCAAAGGGTCAAATGAGCATGCTTCCTTTGTGGTTTTCCCAGAATTCAGGCTGAAGTTTGAAGCTGACATTTAATCTGAATTTTTCTTTCAGTGTATGTCTGATTGCCACAAGACTGTTGAGTGTAGGTGGTTACTGAACTTTTCTGATTGGATTGTATTTCCCCCACCTAAAATGGTGGGTGGGGGGAGACCCAGGAGGCATGAACTCCTATGCAAGACCAGGCAAGCGTGTATTCTCCACCAGAGGAAAAGTAATAAAGGAGTGATTATTCATTGGCAGAGCTATCTGAAGCAAAAAAATGAGCCAGCTCATTCTTCACACTTAAATTTTCTTTTTAATGGCTAAAATTGCATATGTATCTCTATTAGCAGCTTGTTTTCCTTCTGTGCAAGGTTGAGAGAAACAGTTAGCTTTTTTCTCCACCCAGCACAGAAAAAAAGATGAAGGGAAGGGAAGTGTGTGATTGGGAAGTACACAGATGGGGTGTTTGTGTGTGTCTAGGCACCATCCACTGATTGCTATTTGTGGGCTCCAGGGGCAAAAATGTTGCCTGCGGTAAAGTGAATGCCATTCTTTCAATAATGAACTCTTTATTTTTTTAAACCAGCAAACTTCTATATATCTTACCTGTGAGAAAGCTCATAAAGATTAAAAAAACTCAAATCTCTAACACTTCTTAAGAATTAGGCCAGAAAGATACCATAAGGTCAGTTATATGGGCTTTTTAATGAAATTATGAGTTCTCTGGTATTCAGTCCATGTGTCTGACATACTTTCTTTTTTAACTCTACAAATTAGGTATCCTATTTTTGAAGGAAAGTGCTACCTTCAGTTTGACCACAGTGGCTCTGTTGATATTCAAAACAAAAAAGCCGGGGAGGAAACCATGTGGAATATGTTATTCATTTGTGCTTTTGTGGTTAATTGCGATCATGCAATCCTATGCAAGGCCTACTTACCAGTTCTCTTAAGTTAAAAACTGAGGTACATTAACAGTGTACAATAGCAGTGGTTGTTAATGTCATTTCTTGCAGCAATATGTCCAGGGGCTGCTACTGTCTAGAATATTGACAGTATTTGTTTATTGTACCTGTCTGACGTTGAGACATATAAATCCCACCAACAGAGATCAGTTAATAACAAATGTGATTGAATGAGATTCCCCTCTTGAACATAAAGGTCTAATAATTCTTGGTATTATATACTTTTAGTAAATTGTTTTTATTTTGTTTAGCTTTTATTGTTCATGGCTCATAAACATACATGAATTTTAATTTTAGAGTTTTAGAATTGGATCTTCCCAAATGTAAGGACTGTTTCTTTTCTTCCTGATGTTCCTGAACAAGGGAAATCTATGCATGCTTATAAAGCTTTGTTTTTGTCTGCATCACCCAAAGATCAAGGGCTTTTATTTTGATAGCTGCAGGTTGCTTTCTGTTCTAGTTTAGAATTTTGCACAATCTGTGACCACCATCACAGAAAGAAGCATAAGTTCTTGAACCTTCCCTAAAGTCAGACTATGCTTCCTTAAGCAGTCTGTCCTTCCATTAAGAATCCTCTGGGTTTAGATCAGTTTCTTACATTTCTGGTATTTATCAAAGTGGCTTGCAGAATTCTCCTCCTGTCACAACAACCACCCTGTCAGGTAGATTGGGCTGAGAATCTCTGACTGGCCCAAAGTCACTCACTGCTCCATGGCTGAGTAGGGACTAGAACCCAGTCTCACACACTTAACCAGTACATCTACTAGCTCTGAGGATATTCTCTAAAGCTAGAAGTACATTTCACTCTTCTAGCCAACCAGGTTTACCTTTACTGGATGAGAATTGCCAAACCTTGGAGAAATCCAGATTGAGAGGAGGATGCAAGCCTAGAGCAGTGACTCATAAAAAGATAGAAGGAACACTCTCCTCTACAGATGAGGAGTGCTTGGATGAGTCAATCAGTACCAACAGAGGGATGCAGGAGAATTGTTTCACATTGCTCCACAATGTAAGCCTCGAACAAATGTATCCAGATTACAAGAAAGAGGATTTTGACCACATAAGCAGAACTTCCTGATGCTGCAAGTTGTAGGACAGTGGAACAGATTGCCTGAAAAGATGTCAGACTTTCCTCAGTTAAAGATTTTCAAGGAGAGACTCAATGGCAACTATCAAATGGTGCAGCAGCAGATTTTTTTTTTTTTTTTTTACATCAGCAGCTGGATGGACCAGATGCTTGAGGTCCCTCCCAAATCTGTGATTCACCTCATCACCAGCTGAGACTGATGACAAGGAGCAGAGAATCATATGGGCAGATATACCTTTATTATTATGTATTCTCTTATTCCATTGCACTACCCCATTTGGGAATAATTGCTTTGAGTGTGGAATGTCAGTTTTGTTTTAATAATGAACTGTTTTGTTAAGTTTTCAAGATAACTAAATAGAGAAAATAAACCTTCCTCTTCACACACACCACAAATAAAATAAGTACTATTATAGTTACTCTTTTTTCTTCCTGCGGTTGCTCATTTTTATTTTTGGATTACTTAGACTGGGGGTCCTTCCAGAAAAGCATGGGGAGGTGGGAATTGGCAAAAATTGCCTGCCATCCCATCCCCTTAGCTGAGCAGAGCTCTCCACAGGTTGTGCTGTCATTCACAGCAGCACACTCTACTTATTTGGCTTGTCCCAGCTCACAGGTTCAGTTTCCATTCTAATGGAAATTGCGTTTAGCTATTTTATAATTTGTATTTTTAATTTGTTGAAAAGGAAATGTGTTAGAGAAATTTAATAAAAACAATAGCTTTCATAAAAGAATTGGATTTCTCATTTATCTGTCAAGCCCTAATTTACTGCATTAGTTGGTCCATTATGCTACATTTTTGAACCCAGTCTCTTGTCATAATCGTTGATAGATTTCCATTTTATGCTGTTACTAATTGAGCAGCTGCTAAACCAATTATGAGTTCATTACTTACAGAAGGATTTTCTAGCCTCATCATTGATATAAAGCAAACGGTTTCTTAGTCACAATTTAAAGCACACCTCATTATTTCTATAATACTGTGTCCCATCAGATCCCAAGACATCACTGTTATTGTACATATCTATCACTGATCTATTTGTCCCTTGTTCAAGGCAACCTCTCTAACAAAGCTGAGTTGAATCTCAATTTTTGCAGTTCTGCTCCTAGCATTTTCCCATATCAATTTCCTCATCAAGTTCTTCTTGCAATAATGTCAGGTACACTGGGGCTCACATCCACAGGGAATAGGCTCCAAGCCCCCCAAAGGATGCCTGAAACTGCATACAGTGGGGAATATCCAGCAAGGGTGGCCAAACTGAGGCTCAGGAGCTGTGTGTGGTTTGCTGTTTGCCACCCATGGGTGCCCGCTTGCTGACCACAGACTCCCATTTGCACTTCTCAAACACCTGACATTTACTGTATGTGGCTCTTCCACTAAGCAAGTCTGGCCACCCCTGCTATATACTGTAAAATTGGCCTTCCATATTCATGGGGGCTCGTGGCACAGCACCCCCATGAAAGTGGGAAATACATGAATATCTCTAGGGACTCTGGGGATGCCATGCTCTTTGCCTAGGTAGTAGCCAACCTTCTGGCTTTTTGTCTCCATGGGCACAGAGAATATAGAATTATCTATGGCTTTTTCTTAGAAATATTTGTGATTTTTCCACTTTCACAAGGGTCCTGCACCCCTAACCCTAGTGAATGTGGAAGGCTGCAGTCAATTGTGGTTAAGTGAAACCGTGGTAACTGAGATAGTGGATGCAGGGGACCTATTGTATATTTGAGGCACTGGTCACCTTTTCATTGAGTCAGTCTCTGAAAAGAAGCATCCAAATGAAGTTAACATACTAGAAACCTGCAATCTTTAACTGTAAAATGTATTTTTCCTTTATGAGCCTGTATTTGCAAATACAAGAGACATACTTTAAAAATATATCTATATATTTTTCAGTCATTCATTTCAGCCATTCTCCAATTCTACTTGGATATATAGATATTGTATCCTGAGAAAGGCATGCAGTATGGATAAAAACTTGGTATATTGCATTTATTAAACAGAAAAAGGGATTTGTATACACAGTCAAGGTAGGATTGGAGCACCCCTGTCTCAGTGTTATGGTAGCAGAGTGCTCACAGTGAAATCTGTACCAAGGGTTTGAAAGCAATGTAAACAATTCTTGCAATTCTTTCTTTTCTCATAGATTTATTACTTTTTAGACCATCACTTACCATAGTCTCATGATGGTTTAACAGTAAGACAAAAAATAAAACAAAACACAGCATCCTAATCAATTTCTGACAATAAAGCCCATATTAAAATAACAGTCAAACTTTAAAATATTGGGAAAATAAAAAGGTTTTAGCCTGGCCACCAAAAAGAATAAAGTGATGGTGCCAGGTGAACCTCTCTGGGGAGTGTATTCCACAGTTGGGGCACCACTGCAAAGAAGGCCTTTCTCCATGTAACCACCCTGCTAATCTCCTTCAAGGAGAGCTCCTGGAAAATGGCCTCTGCCCCAGATCTTAAGGGGCAAGCAGGCACATATGGAAGGAGATGCACCTTCAGTTAACCAGGCCCTAAGCTGTTTAGGGCTTATAGGCCATCACTAGCACCTTAAATTGGGCCCAGATTTCAACTGGTAGCCAGTGTAGGTGGTAAAAGACCAGCGTTATATGTTCATAGCTGTTCGTCCCTGTTAACGACCTGGCAAGTCTATTCTGAACCAACTGAAGTAT